CTTGCAAGTCTGGTGGAACTGTGTTTATGTTTATGAAAAATTGTTCACTTATGTTTTAAACCTGGCCAACAGTCACTTTTAAGAATTTCAGTGGTTTCATCTTTGGGTGTTAACACAAGTATTGCAGCCATCGTCTGATATTAAGGAACAATAGTTAAAGATATTTTTAATCCCGAAACTTTCAAGGTCTTTTTGATGACTCCTCTCATTTACACTTGGTACACTGTACTGCAATATGAATTCATGAAAGCAACAATATTGACATGTGAGCAATATACCTTTGTGTATATATCACATTATTATGATTATGATGGTACATGCATGTTTGACTCTAATGTTTGATGGCATGTTACACTGGTCGGGGAAAAAAACGTTTAAAAAAATGTTTGCCTACCTACCCTATTCTTTACCCATGTCATTGGAAACAAACGATTTTTAGGTCTTAGGAACACAATTTGTAACAATAGATTTAATATGACAATTAACATGCCAAGGATAAAAGACTGTTTGTTTTGATAATATCTGTCATATGATTCGGAACGGATCGAATTATCCGTCGGAGGGGATCCGCTCTTTGGGCAGTAACAAGACTTGCCAAGTTGCCGCTCATATGCGGGTTCCCGAGGGATGGATATTCCGGCCCGAACCTCATTTGCATGCAACTTCATAGTACCTGCAACTGATTTTTACACTCTGAATATCCATCAACTTAGCCTTTGCCTCGCAACTATCCCTGAACAAAGCGAAATGTAATGTTTGTCATATTGGATGCCTTCTCCACTAATAAAAATCACGTGCATCGCTAATAACACATCTCCGTTGCTACTTGCTTCATCGACCATGCGCTTCTCTTACCTCCTAATCCGTCTTATGGACCTTCGCCGTGCCTGCTCTCAAAGTCATTCTAGTGGGCGTGGCACCTGTACGACGGAGTCAAATATGTATTTATTGCGATATTGAGAGGACGGTGAGTCACTCCAGTAGTGAATCGTTTGCAGTTGTGGGTCGATCAGTTTCAGTTCAGGAATGAGGTCATCAATAAATGATAAAAATGTAAGCTATGTAAGAGACTTCATTCGAAACGGTTACAAAAATTTTGTGTTGTAGCGTGTCAGTAACAACCATTGGGTGCAGCGTGACGGATGACTGGTTGAAATATGCACGTTGCACCTCTTTGTGTGAGCGTCAAATGTAATTTTCCGCAATATAAAGCTGAATAATAAAGTGGTGTTCTGGTAAAGTTTGCTTCAAGAGTTTAATGTGTTCATATTGTACGTGCATTCGTTGCACGTGATGTTTAAACTAATCTAGTTGTGGGCATGTTTGTTTTATGAACTTCTCTCTTGGCAGGACCTTTTCTACAATTCTTGTGACATTCTTCTTTCTGCCTTTATCCTCCGTTTTAATGCGTCTCCACTGTGTAGTGAAAAATTGTATGTCAGCTTATCTCATAGCATATCTCTAAGACAATTCGTTTTCAGACATCTTTTCGGGGTTTGCTGTGATGCTGATGTTTTTCTGCAAAGCCTTTACAAACAGCGATGCATTCTGGTGCTTGATTCACAGACATGTGACTCTGACAGTATAGCCGTTTTGTATATGTATGACAGTCGTGATCTACAAATGTTGGTGAAGGAAATCTTGGTTTTCAGACTTGAATTACAAATATAGATTTTTCAAGTAGTCCGTAAGTATGTGTATCTAAATGTTTACTTCTCTTTGCTGTCATTTTTGCGTCGCTTTTACCGGGCTGAACAAGGCTATTGTCTTCACGCTTTAAAAAGTTCACCACGTGTTCCTTAATAATATGAATTGCTGCTTATTTGTCTCTTGGTAACATTTATTTCACTGACAATCATATAACTGAAAATGATTGAACTCCTGAGTTTCTCCTTTTGCTCCATGGTGAGGTTTGCTGCCTTCATTTTATGTTTGCTTGCTTGGTGTTAATTCGCTTTCTCTTGTTTATTTTTACTGTTCTGTGTACTCTTCAAAACTATCTGTAACGTAACGCTCTTCGAAATATTTCTGTAAAAATTCAAAGTTATTTCACCAAACACTATATGTGACCAAGTGAAACATGTACCGAAATTTTGCTGCTTCTATAACTTCGGAAGACCTCGTAAATTATTCTTTATTTGAGTTTATCCGGAGAATGACAGTAATAGCCGATATGTTGCTGTTGTTTGCAGATGCAATTCGACTAATCAGAAGTTTTTACTTTCCCGCGATTTAAACACTTACACAAAAGAGCTGTAAAATGACCCTCTCGCATGCTTCTTTTTAAAGAAGCAAACTTGACTTTTTTAGTGTTGTGAGTTTTACGCAGAGGGTAATATCCTACAGTTGTGATAATTATTCAGCGATTTGCTTTCTTAAAGGTGTAAGTGGTATGTAGTGGACAATCTTATTAGTGGCGTAAGTACTTTGCAGTGGGTAAATTAATATGCATTGTGCCAATAAAGCATGTTGTGGGTAGTGAGAAGTATGCAGTGGGTAATATTTCTTGTGGTGTCAGAAGTCTTCAGAGGTTATTACACATGTCGTGTAGTGAAGAGTATGCAGAAGGTCATGATCATAGTGATATGTGTAGTTTGCTCTGTGTAAAGTTAATAGTGTGATTAGTATTCATCGGGTAAAATATTATGGCGGTGATAAGTATGCAGTATGTTCATATTGCGCTGTCTAGTATGTGATGAATAACATTTTTAAATGCAGTGACTTACAATAAATATATTCTATTATAAAGTTTTCAATGTGATGTTTGTTTATATATCACTGTAAACATTAAAAATGGCATTTTCCAAGTGAATTTTCTAAACCAGTCTGATAATGATGAACAATTAAATTCTGATTGCCTCTTTAAATGCATATTGACTTGCAAATGTAAACAAGTAAACCTACATGAATTAATAATGTAACATAAAATCGTGCCATGGGGCAACAAACATACAATTAAAAAATATATAAAATAGCACAAATTTAACCTTTATAAGGTCTCCGGCCTAGAAAGAGCATTGTGTAAGATTAGGTTTTTTCTAGCGCATACTTGCAAAATGAAAGCATAAGTGTTGCAAATATACGAATCCACAATGAGTCATTAGGCCATGTAAATTAAATGAATACGATCAATTTTCACAATTTTTCATTCAGAATTACATTTACTATAATTTTGCAAAATCAAAACCATAAAATGTATCTTTTGTTTACAGCTTTACTGAGTCGGTCTATAATTTTGAAATAGGTCAAACCATGCCAGAAAGATAATTCATTCAGTTTAGTTTAATATTATATTACATGCATGTAATTAATACCACAAATAAATACATTAAAAAAAACTTGATAAAGGGTTCAAAGCACAAGTGCATACAAACACTTATTGAATAATGTAAAATTTATATACAGTTTCCCTGCATGAAACAAAAAAAATCTGTTTTATAATACTAGTATATAGTCTAATTTTGGAGAATCAAATTGATAGTGAAAAACAAAAAGCCAAGTTACATTCTGAAAAATGGAATCAATAATCAATAAGTAAGGACAGATTAAAATAAGACGATACATGTTTACATCAAAGTTACAGGTTGCAATGGTTTGGTAAAAGTTATTAATATATTTTATATTAATCTTTTCTCTTCTTTGCCTACTATACTGTTAATGATACGTACTTTAATCTAAAGGCTTTCTTAAGACCTTAATTTCATTCGTAAGAAATATTTTATTTCTTCTTTTTATTTAAATTCTACTTTGAAAAGTAGACGTTTCCTTGGAGTAAACCACTTTTATTAATGGAACCAACTATTATCAAAGAAACAATGCATATTTGTAATTTTAGGATGTATGATAACAGATATATCTCTTTAAACTTCATTTTATTTATCATAAACATGTCAATTATTTGAAGATATCTACGTATTATACAAAGGCTGTATTTCTTTAAGTTATTTAAAATATACAAGGGGGTCAATATACTCTTCCGTAGTATATAACAAAATATACAAAATGACTTTTAAGTCATAAAGTTAAGTTCATATTCGTTTTATACCTTAAGTACCTAGTATTAATTATTAATCATAATCTCTGTAAATACACGTTTTCATATACCTTTTGCAACTCATGAGCTGATCAACATTTTACTGCTCATATTTTACCTGCACTGGCCTAGAATTACATACATACGCCGTCTTATGAATAGCCTTTTAAGAGTACATTTATTTTTCATATACTTCATTTAATCACATTTAAGTTGAAAAGTTAATTCATTTTTGAAAATATTACAAACACATTCATAATTTTGAAAGATGATTATTTAAGACACACATATTTAAAGAAATATACAATGTAAAAATACACATTTCAACTTTTAACACTAGCTTGTCATTTTAATAAGCGGTTAAATCTATGCCAATGCATAGTTGTTTATACATCAAGAATAATTCAGACAGTTGAAAAAGAATGGTGCTTTATATGCATGGATCCGAGCCGCCATATTGGTATTCTATCAAATAATGACGTAATACTGGAAAACAACCTCTCATGTGACAAAAAAAATCCAAGTAAGACGAAATGAAGCAAAAGCTGCTTCTAATTAAAACATTAACATGGACGTTAAAGACTCTTTACGTACGTTCGTAATTATTTTAAATATGCATATTGCCATTCATTAGATGTACACATATTTTGTATAAATCATATTTTTTGGTAAATTACTGTTGAACTGATTATATTGTAATCAAGTTATAGATTATAAGACAAAATATGTTACATATAAAGTAAGAAATAAAACGACAACGAACAAACATGATGTAGATAAAAAATAAAAATTATAAAGTTAATATTAGTATCAAAAATCGTCTTCGTCTTAATTTTAGGATGTATGATAACAGATATATCTCTTTAAGCTTCATTTTATTTATCATAAACATGTCAATTATTTGAAGATGTCTACGTATTATACAAAGGCTGTATTTCTTTAAGTTATTTAAAATATACAAGGGGGTCAATATACTCTTCCGTAGTATATAACAAAATATACAAAATGACTTTTAAGTCATAAAGTTAAGTTCATATTCGTTTTATACCTTAAGTACCTAGTATTAATTATTAATCATAATCTCTGTAAATACACGTTTTCATATACCTTTTGCAACTGATGAGCTGATGAACATTTTACTGCTCATATTTTACCTGCACTGGCCCAGAATTACATACATACGCCGTCTTATGAATAGCCTTTTAAGAGTACATTTATTTTTCATATACTTCATTTAATCACATTTAAGTTGAAAAGTTAATTCATTTTTGAAAATATTACAAACACATTCATAATTTTGAAAGATGATTATTTAAGACACACATATTGAAAGAAATATACAATGTAAAAATACACATTTCAACTTTTAACACTAGCTTGTCATTTTAATAAGCGGTTAAATCAATGCCAATGCATAGTTGTTTATACATCAAGAATAATTCAGACAGTTGAAAAAGAATGGTGCTTTATATGCATGGATCCGAGCCGCCATATTGGTATTCTATCAAATAATGACGTAATACTGGAAAACAACCTCTCATGTGACAAAAAAATTCCAAGTAAGACGAAATGAAGCAAAAGCTGCTTCTAATTAAAACATTAACATGGACGTTAAAGACTCTTTACGTACGTTCGTAATTATTTTAAATATGCATATTGCCATTCATTAGATGTACACATATTTTGTATAAATCATATTTTTTGGTAAATTACTGTTGAACTGATTATATTGTAATCAAGTTATAGATTATAAGAAAAAATATGTTACATATAAAGTAAGAAATAAAACGACAACGAACAAACATGATGTAGATAAAAAATAAAAATTATAAAGTTAATATTAGTATCAAAAATCGTCTTCGTCTTCATTTTCTTCTTCAAAATCACAATCACATGCGCATAAACTTGAACTTCCTTCTATTACGTAAACAATTTCGTGTTTTATGACAAAAATTACTTGTTCACAACAAACTTAGTACCGTGTAACATTCAACTTCAAAAAGTTAAATATTTTAGTTGCATATACAAAAGTTGGAAAGTTGGATGAAACATAAGAAAACTAGATGTTTAAAAAACAGCACAAGAACATATATTTCAGTTATACAATGTAATGTCATGTCAACTTTATTTCATGCACATACATTTAAGTGGGTTTTTGTTTATTTTACTGGTCCTTCCGGACCATTTATTCAAGCACGTTATTGTTAAGATTGAACACCACTTAAGCTTGAGGAATGGGAAACTTTTATATTATCTCTCATGAACAGACACATTCAAATCGTGTTCTGCAAGTTTCATGTTATATTGTTGTTTCACTGCTCCGGGGGATCCTCTTTCTACAGATTTTTAATTTAAAGTTCGGCATTTTACTCATTTGTACTATAAATTTTGCTGTGTTTGGTAAATTAAAGTGCGTTCTAAAATAGTTAAGATTGATTAATATGAAGAAATTAATATGATAAATAGACACACACAAAATCTTTTACATCAAACATTAGTTCAAACATAAATCAATATAAGTAGAATATAACTAAAATGGAAACGAGCTGGTGGTTATATGAAAGCCATTTCATTTATATCAAAATACATAAAATACAAACAGTACATGATAACATCTATTATATATAACAATAAGACATATTGTTTTATATAGATGAAAGTTATAGAAGCATATCAAACAGGATATCGATGATGTAGCATACAAAGGGAAAAGCGTCTCAAACCAACAAAAGTAAACTGAAATAATTGTGCAAGATGTGTCAGACATGACAAACATCCCAGCTTTATTGCCGTATACCAAAGTTGCCCACTTTACCCTAATTTACGTTAATCAATAATTTGATCAAACATTTAATATGTACATTTTGAAAGTCTATATTAAAATTAGATCATCGTTTTCGCTCCGTTACTCTTAGCTAAGCGAAGGGTGGTGGAGCGAGAGTCAGGACTGGAGACTGATTAAAAAGAAACCTTCATGAACAGAACAATAGACCAAACTGTAAATATGTCATGATCTTATTACATGTAGTAAATATAATTTTATTTTTATATCTGAAACTTTATTGACCATAATGATGAGAGCTATTAGGCAGTTCATAAAGATCCTATAGAGCAGAACAAACTATTTTGAGTAGTAAAGAGGCGTTTGCTTCTTTCCAAATAGCAGGAACTGATATTATGAGGGAAAACTTGAAATAGAAAAATCAGATGCTGACGGTTAAATGTTAAAATTCTCCTGAGATGTAGTCATCTATATGTCCAAACCTGATTTCGATTCTAAACGTTTCTTCTTTGTCCGGACTGATAATTTCATGTTACACCGATATCTTGCAGCTGATACTGAAGAACAACTAGTTGTCTGGCATCACTTTTTGGCTGAGCAACGAAAACAGCATTCAGTTTGAAATAATGTGTATCTTTTGTTCACCTAGTGTGACATCATGGTCTTTTGAAAGTGTGGATATTGAAGGGGAGACAAATCCAACAACCTTTCTTTAGAGTAACATCTTCTTGTTCAAGTGTCTGTGTGTATTTTACATAAGCCAATATTACTATAAATGTATCTCTATTGATGTGTATTTGGTAAAGATATGTACGGTTTATAATAACGTCACTTTCATACGGCCTATGCATATAACTCGGTTAACAACACTCGATTGTTATGATTAACGGAATGATAATTATTATCATCAATATCATTATTATTTAAAATTTAAATGAACAAGTCTCATAAAATAATTCCCAAATTTTATGTGTTTTGAAAACGCTACAGCATGTTTCCGTACTTTAACCTGGCATGTATAATTTTATACAGTCAGTGCACCCTTTTTAAATTGAAAAATTAGGAATATGTTTCTGAAACCACTCTCTGACTCTCTTCAATACAGACTTGCTGTCTAGTGGCCATATTACTTGTTTCGGTTCGCTTACAGTCTTCTTGAGTTCTACTTTTGAAACCGTTTGGAAATTTTTCGAAATTTCTTTTAACTTCAGCATCTTTACGAAACTCGTTCAAGATATTGATTCGCTCTATGTACCTTTCTTTCTTTAATAGTTTCTCGTTTTCAATCATGAGAATGATATGTTCCGTCATTGTTAATGGGTTTGATTTAAGTGCTATTTCTTGTAGCTTTTCATTGCAAAATTTTATGAGAAGCATCATAAGACGTGATAAACTTAAATTTTTTATAAAATTTTGAAAACATTTATTTTTATTTTTTAAGACCAATATTCTCACCGACTTCAAACTTTCTGGTCTTCGCTTTTTCATTTCGAGCAGCAATATTTTCTTTGATTGGTAAGGCATACTTGTTTGGAGAGTTACCACTTGTCACTTGTATTGATGTTCTCAACATTTTTGTCGCCAGCGAAGCAGCTGTACGAATTTTTTCACTTTCTTTACTGAATGGGCTCTCTTCTCCATTCTCATATATTACTCTTACCCGAAAAACATATGAGGCATTCGATTTTAAGCCAGTGATTTTAGTAGAAGCTTCATAAATTTCTTCATGGTACGATCTCCATCTTTGATTACTGCTCATGTCTTTAAAGGAAATTTGATAACAAGATGTGTCCCCAAACTTTGTAGGACGGTCCCATGCTAATAAAATCGAGTCAGGAAATACTTCTACAGCGTAGGGTGTACCAGGAACATCCCAAGGAAATCCATGAAGACTTTATGGATACATTTGGGAAGGAGTCCCCTTGCTATATCACTGTGACGAAATGGGCTGCTGAATTAAAGAGGGGCAAGGAAAGCATTGTAGATGATGAGCGGCCTGGGTGGCCAAAAGAGGCCACCAACGATGAAATTGCCGAAGCTGTGTACGATCTGGTCATATGCGTCAGAAAGAGAGACCTGTGAAACATTGCTAGGGAAGTTGGTATAAGCTTTGGATCAGTTCAGGCAATTCTTACTGATGTCTATGGCATGTTAAAGGTTTCCGGTAAGTGGGTCTCCAGACAGTTGACTTACTACCAGAAACGGACCAGGCTTGATGCACCTGCTTATATCTACCGGATCGTAACTCAGGATAAAACATGGGTCCATCGCTTCGATCCAGAATTTAAAAATAAAAACACACAAAAAAACAGAGCATGCAGTGCAAGCACCCTTGCTCATCCCAGTCGAAGAAATTCAAGAGGGTACCATCAGCCGGGAAGATAATGGCTTCAATTCTTTGGGATAGTCAGGGGATAATCATGTTTGGCTATCTTGTGCAAAGTCGTACCATAAACGGTACGTACTATGCAGACAAATTGAGACGTCTGCGTCAAAAACCCGCGCGTAAAAGAAGGGGAAAACTTACTCAAGGTGTTCTGCTCCTGCACGACAATGCGTCAGCTCACCCATCCTAAGTAGCGATGTGTGCTGCAACTGACTGCGGTTTTGAAATTCTTAGCCCCCTCTGACTACTACCTGGTTCCGAAAATGAAAACCAAGCTTCGTGGTAGACGTTTTGGAAGCAATAAGGTGTCATGGAGGCGGTCAATGACTTCTTTGAGGACCATAATAGAGAAGTGTTAAGCAAGTTGCAACACAGGTGGACGAATTGCATTGATGTAGAGGGTGATTATATTGAAAAGTAAGACCATTTGTTGGGTTCTCTGACTACCGGAAGTACATCGGGCCGAGAACTTTTTATCAATCCTCGTACATTCTCAATTGTATATATTACACAGTATCATTTAACCTAGGCAAGAAAATTACTAACAGTTTAGACTCATTACATATACATGTTGTATTGTCTGTTATAAACCCTGTGCAATAATTATAATAGTCTCAGAGTGATCAAAACGAAATTTGAAAATCATAACAATTCGTTTTTATACTCATTGTTTAATGATTTTTAAAAAAAAACATTATATGGAATGATATCCATTTCATATAATAGATTATTTTTAACCGCTTATTACAACAGTCTGTAACAGGCACATAGACTAGTTAAACATCCTGTAACATAATTTTTTATGGTTGTAAATCATAAATATGATGCTCAAATTAAGATTTATCAATATTGTAGGTTCAAAAAAGCATTATTTATAAAGATATTACCGAATTTAACATTTTATGTAAATAAAGGGAGGTAATAAAAAAATTATTTTCTATTTGTAGGTTCTAAAAAGTATTATTTATAAAGATATTACCGAATTTATCATTTCATGTAAATAAAGGGAGGTAATAAAAATTTATTTTCTATAAAGTTTAAGTAAAATTTTACAATAACAAATGAATGCATATATTTTAATGATTACATATAATATGCACAAATATTTGCAGTACATATTTTACATATTCTGCGATGTTTTAAAATGGTTTTATTTGCATAATTATGTACATACATGTATATATAATTTCACTAAGTGTGGTGAACCATTTTGATCACAACATACAGGATCTTTAAATGACATTGTTATGTATATGTTTTACTTGAAAGTCTCAAAGAAAGTTTTCTAAGACAAGCATCAATTTGTGCAAATTGGAGATGACTCCTTATCAGAATAACAACAAACTGGCTACACTTCCTAATGTATATATTGTTTTTGAATTATTTAATTTTCATGAAAATTTGATTCTAAAAATACGTCTACACCTTTTCGTTTTCATGTCCCATTGTCTTGTGATCTTTTCCCATTTCAGCCGCCAAAATCTCGTGCTTTTTTGTTGCATTCATCTTTTTGTGAGATTTTACACATTCTTCACACAAAAACTCCTCACATTCAGGACAATAATTGCTTGCCAATGATTCCCCGTCACATGGATCGCATTTATAAACATCAATGGTTTCTTCAATCTGCAATTATCACTATTTATCAAAACATGGGTCGATACATGCCAAATGTACATGAATATGTGTCTATATACCTTCTTTGGACGCGGTCCGTTCTGTGAAAAAATAGATTGGAAGTAATATTTCTCGCACGTGCGCAATCTGCGTAGGGCAAAAAGAGCATCGCCCTACATAGAAATATAGTAATTATAGTATATAACATAGAAATATAGTAATTATAGTATATAAGTTCATAGACAAGTCAGAGTTAGTTTAAGGTAAAATGTAGAAAATTATATAAAATAGCTTTTAAAGCAGCACGCCTCCAAATTCATGCTTATTTTCATGAAAATTTTGAAAATGTGTTTAACATTATTATTTAGTGAAATAACAAAAGCTTCCTAATGTATTTATTTTTGAATTATTTTCATAAATTTTTACACATTCTTCACACATCAACTCTTCACATTCAGGGCAATAACTGCTTGCCAATGATTCACATGGATTGCATTTATAAACATCAATGGTTTCTTCAATCTGCAATTATCATTATTTATTAAAACATTGGTCGAAATCATGCCAAATATTGTTATAAAAATGCCGGCGTCTCCGAGTGTCGTTGTCAGGGATGGCGCGGAAACGTTAGCACTATATAACGTTAAAATTGATGAGGATTTACTTCTGAAGATTATTTGTAGAAATAGATATTTTAATTTAGTGGTATTCAACCTAAATAGTATGGTATTGGAAAAGGGCACACTTCTATTTTTATTCTTGACTACCTAGGCCATCTAATATAGACCAGTCACCTGTTCTTCAACAATTATATAAGGCACCTGAACACTGCTCATTGGGATACTCCTTTTATATTAAATACGGTAGTGATGTCGAAATCACCTTTAAATAAATACAATCCTTGCACACAGGTGCATAAGTACTATTCAACACATAAGAGAAACATATTGAAACTTAATCAATTTTAATATATGTATATATATAACTCTTTAAACTTTAACTATTCAAACGTTGAAATATATTCCAAGTTTATCTTATGAACGTATTGTATGATAAATAAATTATACAAAAGCTCTGTGTCTTTGTTTTAATTCTAATTTGTATGCCCTTGGTAGATTGAAATAGCTTTTATTTTCTGTCAATAAAATAGCAAAAACTTATGTAGACTTGTTGTTGTTATTATTCCAAAGGAGATGTACTTTCTGATATAATTAAAGTAGCTGAGCTACTATACTGTATAGACTATTTATATGTACACAGTTTTAAACCGTACTGTATAAGGTGCGGATTTTGACAGCTGCGGATGTTTTTGTTTATATCGGAAGTTGTTGTTACTACGGATTACTTTTGGCTGCGGAAGCTGCGGATATTACTCACATAACAAATGCTGTGGTGTCTGCGGAGTAAATGTATGCGGATTGCATAGAATGTTAACTAAATTATTAACTCTCTAATCATCAGTAAGCCACAGAATGCTTTGCGACGCTCAATATATAGACAAATGCGTAAGAATTCCGTTCCTTTGGAAAATGCGGAGTACTTCAAGGGTACAGAGTCTTTGTCCAATCAAAATAGACTACGGAATGTTACGAACCAATCAGATTCACGGAAAGAGCTGCGGACGTTTTACGTCACAAAAGTTTATCAATACACTAAAATTAAATGATCCGCAGCCTAGTTTTAGATTTAGAATTCTTCATTTATACACAAAGTAAACAATAGGAGAGTTACACATTTAGGATAGGTGTCCCGAATAGGTACTGTTGGATGTTTATTGCAGTCTGATACCTTTGATTGTACTTTTCACACTTGCAAAATTTACCGACACCAAAATGCCGACTTCACTGTCAAATTGTCACCACAAAGATTTAATTCATTCCTGAGTAAGTTGAATGTATTTGTAGATGTAAATAATGGTGTTAAGAAATACTTTTAGTGCTGATAATTGTATAACGATAATGTTTTGTTATTTACTTCTGTGTTGGAGACACAATATTCATAAAAGTAATGTATTTTCGCGATTGTTAAAATGTTGAGTTCTCCCGATGATGTTACAAACAATACATAATGATTGTTTCTGGTACCATATTGAAATACTATAACAATATTTATGTGTTTATAGACCCTTTTACGACGCGGTCCATTGCTATTAAAAAGTAGAAAAATATTCCTTAATAGCTTTGTGGCCAAGTTTGCCATAAAAAGGCATGGAAAAGATGATTGTTTAAGATATCCTCCGTACGATCACGGATCTGACATTGACATTTACACAGTTGTAAAAATGTGGAAATATATCTATAAGCTAATAAAAAGTCAACATAATTGTTGTTGAACAAGAGCCACCACCGATTCATAACTTTGAAAATAGATTTGATAAGATGTAAGTCATAACTTTAATTATGCCCCCCCCCCCCTTCGAAGAAGAGGGGGTATATTGTTTTGTTAATGTCTGCCGGTCTGTCCGTCGGTCCTTCTGTCCGTCGGTAGACCACATGGTTTCCGCTGATTATCTTGAAACGACTTATCACAAGGTCTTCATATTTCACATACTGATTGATCATAACTAGCAGACGATCCCTTTTGATTTTGGGGCACTATGTCAGAGTTCAAGATCACAGAAGCCATAGATGTCACAATGGTTCCAGCTCATTTTATTACAAAGTCTTCATACTTCACATACTGAATGGTCATAACTAGTAGATGACTCCTACTGATTTTCGGGTTTATGGGTCAAAAAGGTCACAGGGGCCATAAATGTAACAATGGTTTCTGCTCTCCATAATTCATATACGGATTTGTCATAACTGGTAGATGACCCAAATTGATTTTGGGGTCACTAGGAAAGGTCAATGTCGCAAGGGCCTTAAATGTCCAAATTGGATTCCACTCATAATCTTGAAAATCATTTATCACAAAGTCTTTACGTTTCACATACTGATTAGTAAGAACTAGTAGATGACCCCTATATATTTTGGGGTCACTAGGTCAAAGGTTAGGGTCACGAGGGCCTTAAATGTCCGATTGGTTTCCACTCAATATTTTGAAAATTATTTATCACAAATTCTTCATATTTCACACTCTGATTGGTAATAACTTGAAGGTAACTTCTATCGATTTTGGGGTTACTTAGTCAAAGGTCAAGGTCGCAGGGGCCTTAAATGTCAGAATGGTTTCCGCTCATTATCTTTAAAACTATTTATCACTAAGTCTTCATATTTCACATATAGATTAAAAATGGTACGCTAAATATGGAGCGACGTTAAGATTTTGCGTTATTTCGTAAACACGCCCGTCACATGCGACTACTCAAAATTATAGCAAAAAAAATAGAGAGTGTTATCGATGTGATGTACAAGATAAATTGCATAATACCAGGCAACAATACACCAAAAAATGGGGCAATAAAGTGATATTATTAGTGCATGAAAACATTTTATCCACTCTCTCATTTTCATTTTCTTGTCATTTCGTTTTGTCGCGGTAGAAGGGCCCCGTCACAAAATCAAAGCACAGATGGCACTGAATTTGTTTGGGTCTGAGAATGTCAGAAAGGTGACGGTTGTGAGATTATAAACCTATTTGTTTTTGTAAAGTGCCACCAATGCTGTTTCCAGTGTTGTAACTGTAGTAAATTGGCTATAAGCTGGAATTTGAACTCCAGACCTCACACTTCCTAAGCGAGCGTGTAACTCCTCGACCACGGAGAAGCTATAATCAAATATTTTACATAATCGGCCTTAATATGTATATTAAGAGATATCTAAATATAATATATATCCCATATAAAACTTTAAAAAGTTTGTTTTAAGCACCTGTGTTTCGAGATATTTTGTTCACGGTAAACCTGTTGTTTAACACTGATGTAAATAATCATGAAGCTTAATATAAGCATGTTTATCTGTAAAGAATTACAAAAATATTAGAAATCTTCGACAAATCGGGAACTATTTTTTCTTCCCCGGTAATGCGCCTGTCATTTGACAATCTTTACGCATTGATCTCCTTTTAATTTTTCGGCGTAATTGTACTTATTAAGGAAAGTAACCGCTTCGAGAAGTTCGGACTACTTTCGTTTTTTGCAAATAAGCATATCAGGGTCTGAAATTTCGCTGCCATTATTTGTTTGGTCTGACGACCCAAAGAGACTAAGTAAAAATGGGGGACATAAATCATCCTAAATACATGACGCAGATATGAGTGCTGTTCAGTGATCATTATTTATGACCACAAATATGCAAAACTTGCATGTTAAACTTAACCAAGAAAAGGAGATTATTTTAGTACAAAAGGGAGCATAATTCAGTCAAAATACCTGGAAGAGTAATGAATCTTGAGATGTGACCTTCAATTATGACCCTAAGTACATGTGTAAAGTTTCAAGTAAATATCTTTGATAGTTTTTAAAACCTTTAACCTTTAACAAAAATTTCTAAGTTTCAAATGCGCATAATTCTGAAAATATTGCAGGCAGAGTTATGCAACTTTGCAAAATGATGTACATTGTTACTATAAAAAAGTATTGTAAATTTCAGTTGAATATCTCAATCAATAATTTAGATATATGACTTTAAAAAAAAACTTTAACCAAAATTATTTCTAAGTAAAAAAAGAGGCATAATTCTGTAAATATTGTAGGCAGAGTTATCCAACTTGACAATCTGATGTACATTGTTACTATAACTAAGTATTGTAAGTTTCAATTGATTATCTATATTTGAGATATTTGACTTTACAAAAAACTTTAACCAACGCAGACGCCGACGCGGACGCCGACGCCGGGGCGACTGCAATAGCTCTCCATATTCTTCGAATAGTCCAGCTAAAAAATCATAAAATCAACAAGAAATTGAAAGTTTTGTTGTTATCTGTTATTTGTTGCCAATAAGAATTTACTACAAAAATTCCTGAACAGATCACTATATAACTGTGTCTTAATTATCATTACTCTGTACTTAGGGCTTGAGGCCCTTATCTGATTGAAAATGCAAAGATAGCAATGCACATAACATATGTCATCTTGTACTTTTACTTAGAACTTCTCTATTTTTGGCTAGATTGGGATAATCTCTTAATTCATTTGAGCGGGCCTGCTAAACAACCAAGCCTTCACATTTGACCCCATGACCTCTAGGTTGATCCGACAGGTAGAGCTGATGAGATGCATACACATTCACGAGCATTCACCAGTGAAGTTTGGAGGCTGTATGTGGAACTGCTTCCGTGCTATGGTCAATGTTTAAAGTGCAGTGACAAACAGACACACACACTGACTAAAAACAATTAGCCTTTCTGATATATCAATTTGAGGGCATAAAGAAGACATTTAAAGGTAATAAAAGATAATGAAAGAAGTAATTACCTAAACATCTCTGATCTTGTCTTGTTTATTGACCTTGTCAAGCAGCTGCGGTGATGGTTGCCAACCATTAAAGAACCGTGGGTTGTACGAGGGCACATTTCCCGACCATTCATCTCTGGCAGAAAGTAAAATGTATCCGTTTATTTCTTTATTTTCTTTCTATAATTGGCTTTATGGTCAAGATGTTTAAGTCATACTTTATGGCAATGTTTTTCATTTCAAATCAAAAGCATTATTCTGTAATTTAATAACATTTGTTTGGTTCGTTATATAATGTCTATTTTCACATTTTTATTCATAACTCTGTGGTCGGTTCATCTAACCAGTTTTCTCCTTTTTAAGGTAAGGGGGTGGAATCTAATTAGCATATCCAGCTACAGCACAAAATTCATTTAAAATGTTTTGTAAATCAAACTTATCTTGAAGAGCGATGATAAACGATGAGTAATTGTTTGCTTACTTGACTAATGTCCATGGACGTCCTAGTGTCTGCCACAATTTAAACTCGTTCGATGTGAGGCAGTTCAGAAATAATTGTTTGGCATCGTACAACAACAAAGGAGCGACAGCTTCACTACTGAGGTCACGACCCCCATGAATCGAGTCACGACTAGCTTCGTAGATCAAACTTAATGGACTAAACAGGAAGTGAACAAGTTCCGGTGCATTTGGGTCATGAATGTGTGCCTTCAATTTTGCATGAAAGAATAAATAAAACATGGTCATATAAATCTCTACACACATTATTAGTTATAAAGATTTTTGACAGTTGTTTGGAAAAATAACCCGAGCAGCTAGAAAAATTTAAAACGAATATAATACAGCAAGCACTGGGGGTTTTTATTTCAGAATAAAGTGAGATTTTTTCATTAATTGACAGCTGCCGTGTGTATAAAACTTGTTGAAAAACACAATTATCCATTGAAAAAGCAACATTACAACATTTAGTATTATATATACCAGTAGCGCCTAGAAAATACACAATCGTTACAACACTGTTTTAAACATGTTATTTACAGGCAAACAAAAAAGTTCAATGGCTTTGCATTCACATATCTTAATGTAAGTGCAGTAACAGGTCAACTCCTATTAAAAAACACTGCACTACTTTGACGTTATCAGCTTGTTTATAAATTGTCCTTTAATAAAATTATCCACAAACACTATGACAAAGAATCAATGGACAGTTAAAAACTTATGTACATCTACCAGGAAGTTTCCATCACTGAATTATTCATACCTGGGTTATTTAAAATACATTTCGCCCTGACAACAAGTGTAAGGTTTCCAGTTAATACCTTCTTTTTTAAATGCTATTAGAAGTTGCTAGCAAAACCTGAAGTTTTACATTGGAACCAATACCTTGTTGTGTAGAAGCCCCCATTAATCTTTGATTCATCAAGCTATAAAACAAACTTGACTATTCTAATAATAACTTACTAGAAGATTGAAGGCAAATTTAAATTTCTGGAAGATATCTATAAAATCATCAGCTGGTGGCGGCCGTGCTCTCATCATTAACTTTTCATCTGTAATACACATATTAACATTATAATATTCCATCTGTAATACATTAATTAAGATTATAACATTCCATCTGTAATATATGGATTAAAATGATAACATTCCATCTGTAATACATGAATTAAGATAATAGTATTCCATCTATTACATACAATATTCTTATTTTATTTGTAATACAGTGGATTAAAATTTTAAAAATCCCATCTGTTATACATGGATTAAATAGTAAGATTCCATCTGTAAAACACAGATTAAAACATAAATAGTCCATCTGCAATTCACAGACTAAAGCAGATGGATATTTTCTTCACATGATAGAATCCAAAGACCTTGGCAGGATTCAAACCCACAGCGACGTGTGAAAAGTTGTTTAAAGTCAACGACCTTGACTTCCCGGCTATTGGACTTTTAAACAGCTGATAAAACCGATACGTGTATAAATCAAGGCGCTTAGTCCATTATAGGCTTGACAGCTGTCCAACAAGATTCAAAATCTCAAATATATATATATATATATATATATATATATATATATATATATTTAATTGTTCATTGATAATAAATTATTTTGTAATTTAAATAATTCATAGCTGGGTTATTTAAAATACATTTAGCCCCGACAACGAGTGTAAGGCTTCAAGTGAATACCTTCTTTTTTTAAATGCTATTTTACATTGGAATCAATACCCTGTTGTGTAGAAGCCCCTATTAATTTTTTATTCATCAAGCTATAAAACAAACTTGACAATTATAAGATTCATTATAGAACTTAACCATTGTATAAAACCCCGAAAACATCACTAAAAATATTACCTACAAGCAACATATCTTTCTGTTTTATTGGCAGAAATATAAATGGAAGCAGAAAAAGGTCAAACACTAAGCAGATTTTTGTTTCCCCTTTCCTCAAATTTCAACCCCTAACTCCCTATAAACCCTTATTAATCAATAATTTCTAAATTTTATATATTTCCATGCTACAAGCAACATTTTTCACAGAAATTTATTTGCATATACATGTAAATATCATTATAAAATATGTCAAACCTTCGGCAGATTTTTGTTTTCCTTTGCCGCCCCTCTTTAGCCGTCGTCCCTCCAATTCTTTATAAGCATCGGCTATCTGTTGTAACCTCTGTACAAACTTTTCTATATCATCAAAACAGTTGTTCAATAATTTCTCGAAAAAACAAAACAACAAAATCTTTAGTATTTGTGGGGCACTAATTTTCATGGTTTTTAAAACAGTCCACTTTATGTATCCACGAAAAGTGTTCTTTGTGATAAAACTACAAAATTGCATGACCACAATATTAAGTTTACAGTATATAAAAGATCTAGAGTCTAGTCTGAGAAGAGAAATGTCACCAGGCCATTGATTGTTCATTTTTCATAATAATCCTTTCATTTAAAATTGACCAATAACTTTATACACAAAGACACCTTTTTTGAAACCTCAGAAACTTATTTAACCCTTGGTTTATATATATATATATACCCAAGGTCATTTATGAGTGACGGTCAAGGTCTGTCTGGTTATTTTAAAAGGCTATCCTTGAAGGTAATTATGCTTAAGTTTGAAGACAATCCATTCAAAAATAACAAAATTACAGCCAATAATAGCGAAAAATATGAAAAATTTCAATAATTTGACCTTCAAAGTCAAGGTCATTTTTGAGTGAAGGTCAAGATCTGCCTGGTTATTTTAAAGGGCTATCCTTGACGATTATTATGTTTGAAGACAATCCATTCAAAAATAACAAAGTTACAGCCAATAATAGCAAGAACAAGCAAAATTTGGACTTTTGACCTTGAAGGTCAATGTCATTTATGGATGAAGGTCAAGGTAAGTGTGGTCTACTGAAAGGTCTTGTCCCAAGGGCTGTTGTGGCCAAGTATGAAGACAATACACCAAGAACTAAAAAAAATATTCTCCAGGTACAAGTTTGCGGACGGCAACGGCAACGCCGCTAGGACTAAAACAATACCTCTTCTTTTTTCTCTTGGAACGGTAAGTGGTAGTTAAACACCACTGGGGAGTTTAAACCGGTTTTAGGCGCGCCAAACCTCACTCTTAGCCCCAATATGTTCCTGAATGACATGAAAATGTATATAAAATTAATCCTCGCCAAATGAAATTCTAACAATGGTCATGGTTACATTAGACGAAATAAATAAAACACATACAAAATTATGTAAATATGTAGAAAAAGTTACAGCCTAATGACCATTACCAAAGTACTTGTTGCCTTAAAGGAAGGCAGAGCAACAAGAAAATCACCTACACCCGACGAAGCAAGGCAGAAGACGAACATTAAGCTATTCAGTCCCAAAGGGCTTTAAGAACTGTCCATCATAGAGTCTCCCACTTGGTCCGTCAGATGTAATCAAAAGAGGAAAGCGTAGCGTCAAACTGTAAAAGGGTTGAACACCAAGCATGCGGTATGCCTTAAAATAATTGGAGCTAAAAACGTCAAACAACAACAGTTTGACTATTTGTTCACTTAAACGTAGATCTGCAGTAAAGCTTTGTAATTCTATTGTTAATATAACTTGTCATTTATGTTTAAATGGATTTTTGTCTTAAAAACGTTTTGTTACATTTTGATATAAAAGTTCATGTAATTTAATTACGCATTCGTACTAAATCAGCTATTACTGCACTAGATCACATCCAAACATTAAATACGACGCCCGAACGATGCGAGTCGCTTTAAGTCGTGTTATATTCACATTTATAGCGAAAGTTTCGTACAATCAATAATTGATTGTGAACATTAGAATATGGGACAATTTAAAAGACGTTTATTTTTTATGATAAATATGTCTACTAGGTAATTTGTTGTATCCGTTTCGCGAACAATTTCTGACAGTTTGACCTATTTTTCCCAGAAATCGGCCAATTTTCAATTACAGATTAAGTCAATTCTAGACCGGTTAGAAATGAAACAATGAACAAGAAACAAACAGCAAAAGCTTGCCTGACAAATTTAAAAGCATTCATTTACATGAATTTTTATACATTTAAAGCCTAGCAGGATTTTCAAAATGCCCTTCTACGATAAACCGTATAAACCGTGGACTGTTTTCATGCACGTCGCGATTTGTACGCGACAACGGAACCATTTTAGCATTTTTATAGAAAACTATCCAAACTATCATCCATGTAGAGCTTCATCAAAATTTACCAAATAATTAAGGAGTAGATAACTTTTTTTCATTATTTATCTATCTTGTTCAGCAGACCAAAACAATTTAAGCAATTTCGGTAAAAGGAATGTCAAATGATGATTTATGTAGAGTGTCATTAAAACATATTAGCCAGTTGAGAACATTATGTCATTTAACATTTTATTTTTAGCACTTGCTACAATCTTGTTCAACTGAAAGGAACCATACTGTTTTAAAAGAAGTATCCTCTTCTTCCCAAAGTGTCGCCTTTCTTTTTGATTGTCTAGTTTGAGTTTCTTCTTCCGCCGCTGTGGCATTTTCGTCCACCACTGATGTGTCATTTTGTTGTGCTTCAAAGAAAAGACAGAGTTATTCCGCAGGTAATATTCCTCCACAGATGAATGACAGACAAGATGTTTTAGTTATCAGGAACATGAGAGTTCTTAAATTGCTCACCTAAATATCAAGGCTCTGAATGAAAAGGAACAATTAATATTGCTAACTCTGAATCAAAAGCAGATGAAATGTTTGAATCTTAAACTGATATCATAACGCTTGAATCTGCATCTGAAAAAGTGTAAATGTAAATCTTTTCCATATTTGGGCTGTGCCATCGAATTTGATCTTTTAGCTAGAAATCATTTGAAGCCGCATGCCTAAAGATTATCTAAAATGTTTTTCAAGAAAGTAAAATATACTGACATGTTAAGGACAGTAAAACATTCAAGATTCGAATGATTAATTACATGTGCGAGTAATGACTGTTTTCAATATTTGTTACTATAGTTATACTGTGTGACTAACGCAGTTAGGGCTTTTTTTAAATATTATTACCTCTTTTTTCTTTACGAGGAATGTAAGTGTCATTTGCAATGTGTAAATAAATATCTTAGTTCACTTCACAATATTTTATTTTTAAATACCAGTACAGTTAAAACATATCATGAAAATCATCATGAATCTGGAGAAGTTCCATTTGTTCTGGCCCAATAACATATGTGCAAATTCTCAGGTCATTCCCTCACTCCGTTTTTCCTATATATTCATATGAGCAAAATAAAAAATCAAAAGCGTTGCAACTCAAATAAGGGTAATAATCGGACAGGGTTTTGACCCAAGATGAACCGTACTTAATCTTGAGCTAGAAATTATCTAAACATGAGCACCGCTAGGCGGAGCATTATATGCACGAAAGTGATTTTTTAGTAAGGATGGAGCATTTGTAAGACATGGGAATACAATAAAGTATTACTCCTTTAAATAGCAATCCTCTTATGAAGTTTGAATATTGTGGGCCAAATGAAACTGAAGTTATGCTCCGGAAACTGTTTTCAGTTGTAGGTAATAGTGACTTTGACTTTTGATCTTGTGACCCCAAAATCAATGGGGGTCTTCTACCCAATATGGACAATCATCCTATGAAATTTGATTATTGTGGGCCAAATGGAACTTAAGTTATGCCCCGGAAACTGTTTTCAGTTTTAAAGTAAGAGTGACCGTGACATTTGACCTTGTGACCCCAAAATCAATAGGGGTGTTCTACCCAATATGGACAATCATTCTATGAAGTTTGAACACTGTGGGCAAAATGAAACTTAAGTAATGTTCCGGAAACTGTTTCCAGTATTAAGGTAATAGTAACCTTGACCTTTGACCTTGTGACCCCAAAATCAATAGGGATGTTTTACTCAATATGGACAATCGTCCTATTATGTTTGAACACTGTGGGCGAAAATGGAACTTAAGTTATGTTCCGGAAACTGTTTTCAGTTTTAAGGTAATAGTGACCTTGGCCTTTGACTTGTGACCCCAAAATCAATAGGGTGTTCTACCTTATATGGACAATTATTCTATGAAGTTTGAATACTGTGGGTCAAATGGAACTTAAGTTATGCCCCGGAAATTGTTTTTTTCTATTTTAAAGTAATAGTGACCTTGACCTTTGACCTTGTGACCTAATATACCAATAGGGGTGTTCTACCCAATATGGTCAAACATCCTATGAAGTTTGAATACTTGGGGCCAAATGGAACTTAAGTTATGCTCCGGAAACTGTTTTCAATTTTAAGGTAATAGTGACCTTGACCTTTGACCTTGTTACCCCAAAATCAATAAGGGTCTTTTACTCAATATTCACAATCATTCTATGGGTTTGAATATTGTGGGGCAAATGGAACAGAAGTTATGCTCAGGAAACCAAATTGCTAATGGACGGACGGACAGACAGACGGACGCCAGGGCGTTTAACATAATATGCCCGTATATAAAAATCTTTCTGACAAATTTCCAGTATATTTGAGCTGAAAACGCAACCTCTTTCATATTTTGGATATGTGACCTTCTTTTTATCCCAGATAACAAACACTCAAACCACAAGATACTATGTCGTGACCACGAGTTGCTAAGTCGTGGCCACGAGATAGTTAAGTCGTGGCCACAAGATACTATGTAGTGGCCACGAGATAAATAACCAATCAGATTACACCATTTACTTGAATTTAGACATGTGCTATAGTACAAGGATGTCCTGTAAAAGTGCCATTTATACAACTTATTGACTGGTCAATAATTTTTCATTTAGCTTCACTGTGACCTTGATTTTTGACCCAATGACAAATGTATTAGATGTCATCTACTGATCAGGTGCAATGATCTTTCTGGGTTATGTAAACCATGACTTATCCCTTTTAAATTATTCATCAGACAAGGATTTTACCCTATGGGCTATCTACTGTCCATGGACAATGTCCCTTTCAAATAAAATAAACCAGGACTTATTTCTTCTCATTAATCGTATAAACAAGGTCAACAGACCGTTGTACGTTCAAACTGACCAATTCGATCACAAAATTGTCCCAACAAATTGCTATAGTCAAAATTATGTATGATGGGCCTTGGAAGGTGACTTTCTAATATACTGTATGATCCTAAAGACAGATTCAAAGTGAATATCTTCAGTATTTTCAATGTAAAAGTAGGTTGTTAAGTTTAAAAAAAATCATAATATATATAGTGTACTCTGATTGGTTAATTATCTCGTGGCCACGACTTAGTTATCTCGTGGCCACGACTTAGTAACTCGTGGCCATGACATAGTATCTTATGGCCACGACTTAGAAACTCGTGGCCACGACATAGTATTACAACCTTGAGGTATAAAAATATATTTTATCGACCCTTTTGATATATTTCCAAGATGTTTTGGCTGAAATTGTAACCTCAAAAGTGTTTACAATCTTTTGTGATATTTTGATTGTTTGACCATATTTTTGATCACAGATGACCAAAATTATCACTTGAGCTAGAAAATATCCTTTCTGACAAATTTACTGTATATTTCTCCCGAACCAGCTCTAGAGTAATGAAAAGTTTATCATATTTGGGCTTGTTTTTTTTATCCCAGATGACATATATTCATACTTCAGCCAGAAATCATCTAATTGAAAACCTTACTGACAAATTTCAGGAAATTTGAACGGAAATAGTAGCCACTATAAAAACATTGAAAAGTTTGTAACAAAATATAAATCGATAATTATGTCCTACTTAGCCCATTTTGTTTAAACCCGCTTTTCAGTTTGGGTCATTTTGCACAACTAAAATGATAACTCTGAGGGGAATGATCTGTAAATTTGCACACACATGATTAGTCCAGACCTAAATCAAATGGTATAGAAATCTCGGGAAATTAATTTCGGTCCTGTTATGTCATTAAAGTCAGAAGACTCCTTTCAATCAATGTAGTATTTAACCCTTTCTTATTGGTAATTTAATTCACAAATTCACGGATACAGTAAGTTCAACTTATAACAATATTCTGCTGACCACCGAATTTATATCGTTATATCCGTATATCAGTAAATGCAAGAGACAACCGATTTTGAAATAAAACAAAATTAAAGCACCACGTAGGCGTTGCAACTAACGCCCGAATTCAGATTTGTTTTAAGTAATCAAAATCAAAAATAACTTTTAAATTAGAGAGAAGACCCGTTTAATACACTTGCCCGAAACATGTTTTATTTCAATTTTTAATATTAAAATAAGTGATACATGTATTAATAGTGATGTCAAGTAGATATGATCTTGTCACAAGTGAGTGCGTGCGTGCGTGAGTGCGCGCGCGTTCATGTGTGTGTGTGTATGTGTGTGAGTTAATCTATATTCGCCACCGGTTGCTCATATAGGTACGTGTGTTCTCCAGAAATAATAAAATGTAGTAGTCATTTTAGATTTTGGAGAAAATAGCAAGAAGTTCATAGCTGTTCATCAAAAGACATGAAAGTACGTCACTTCATCATATCATCAAGATCAGCTGATATCAAAGTTCAATTTACATCTTAATATGTGCACATGATTCAAATGCCATAGCTTTATATCAAAGGACAAGAAGGAAGTTCACTTCAGTTATTTATCTAGGTCAGCTAAATCAAAGTTCATTTCTTAATTTTAAACTATTCACATGACCCAATTATATAGCTGTAGATCTAAGAACAAAAAGAGGGTCACTTTGTCAAAGTATGAAAATATACAAAAATCTGTCGGAAGCATTAATCATAACAAAATAACATAAAAACTGCAAACTCGGTTTTATTGAGTCTGTACTTGAGGGATAATGAATAATTGCAACATCCCTCACGACCCCAGCACTGGAATTTATATGAAACATAATTGGTACTGTATCTAACAGTATTCAATAAATAAAGAAAAATCTTAAATTGTTATGGTGTAAACATTAGTGTGAACATTCTAAATTGTTTTTCAAAATCATGTCAGCATAAGATTAAAAAGAATAAAGACAATGATAATTATAAATGAAGTATATGGTAACATTAATATTAATATACCTAGGTCGTCCATGACTTCTATGAATTTCTCTTTGAAGATGAGATTGGCAAGTTGGACATTACTACAACCTGGCAACTTCTTTATAGCTGTTTCAATGCCTGAGAGTTGTAATGAGAGATCTCCAGTTCTGTAATCGCGGACCATTTCGAGAAAGCTTTTCACTGATGTACATTTTATTGTCAGCAACAGACATTTTGTTTTACAATTGTTATACGTCTGCCCTTCATTAAAAAGTCTCGAAACACTTGTTTAACCGATTCCCTTACTGTATGCAGAACATAATTTGGTAGATCTTCCTCATGACTTGATACTTTCTGTTCGATAGCCTCGTTAAAGTATTTCTCTAAAGTATCTAAAATTTCTTTCTTCTCTTCTGCACTGCAATTTTCAACCTCTATCACCATACCTACATAAGACGTAATCTATGTTATTGAAAAATAATGATGAATAATATTAAAAATGCATACAATAGATAGGACTTTTGACAAAAATGTTATTAAGATAACACATGTACCCTTATATTTCTAACTTCTTTATAACTGATGTTTGCTCTAAAGTTAATACGGGTTTTATTCTTATATATGTTCCTTTTATTTAAGTATTTTTCTGTCTACCCTTATCATTTCGGTAACAGAAACTAGGCATTTGATTTAAAAGTAGTTAAAACAAGATGCCGTCTGTTTTAAAAAAAGATCTATTTATATCAAAATGGTCTTATTTAAACTCCGAAATGTGATATCCCGTGATTACACCAGTATGGATGTCTTAAATCTAAATAGCACAAAGGCACAAATGCATAACGTACTTGACCTAAATACAGGCAAATGTTTAACAAATATGTTAACTTTTCAAACTATTATAATATACTCGTGTAGGCGAGTGTTTAATTTTTTCTGCTGTATTCATCTATACACGGGTAGTTGATTGTTTAATATTTTTTTTTAATTTAACTTTAAGTACTTTTTTAAACACGTATGTCCTTAAGGGGAGGAGGCGGTGAATTGTTTCTTTCGCTATGTTTTAATTCGATGAACTGTGGGGTTAGTGGGGAGTGGGGTGTTGGATCTTTTATTTCAGATTCATAGCAATATCAACCATATCCAAACAAGCAGATGGACTGAAATTATGCACTTCATCGCAATAATCATTTATTCAGTACTGAGTTTTTACATATAAATATCCAATATGTGTTTCATATGAAAACAATCTAATTTTTTTTTAATTACCCGGGATGTCTACAGAAGCTCCAGATGGCCAACGAGATTCAAGTCTTTCAACCTTTTCAATAAGTGCGTCAAGCTTTCCAATTATCAAGTCTTGGCCTATAAGTAAAAAGACGGATATTAAGTATCAATTGATTTCAAGTTTAATTTAGAGAAACAAAGATATTTTTACTTACATACAGAAGTATATATTTTCAATTAACTTTACCATATAACTTGTAAAATGTTGAGAAGATACCCTTACTATTCCCATTTTTTCCAAGACTTCCCTTTGTGTCCATTCTGAGCGGTGAAGATTATGAATAGCTTTATACGCATCATCTATTGACAAAGGATCTGTGGGTAATAACTGAACAAGTGCGTTCATTTCCTCTGTAAACTTTTCATCATTGTTCTCTTTTAAACAGTTTTCAAAGCTGACTTTCAAATCATCAGTATAGTCGTCGAATTTTATTGTTTCTAACGTTGGGTCATTTAAATGACAAAGTTTGTTCAGGATATTTATAAGCTTCTTGGTACACATCTTTGTAGCATTTGACAGATCACAATTTTTTTCTAGAATGAAACAGAGCATGCAAAAGGTCCCAGATATCTAGATTTGTGTGTCCGGACGGTGGAAAAAAACACATTTTCCTTGTTCTCTCGAAATTTTTGTTGTAATATTACAGCTTCATTTTTTAACAAAAATTCATCGATAGTATCTTCCTCACCATTCTTGCTAAGATCCTTCACTTTTTTTATCCTCAAGTCTCCTTATTATTTTTGTTTACATCGAAGTGAACAAATTAGATCATAGAAAAAAAACGGAAAATATCATTTACGTTACTTAGCGCTACGTGGATGTTTAATTCCGTTTTGATCTTTTAAATTGTATAAATCGTTTACTGTATTGTTTTCTGAATAGCGTTTTACTTTTTCATGTTCCGATTAATAGTAACAGTGAATTTTACAGGAACAATATCGCCATGCTCTATTATATGACCGAGTGAACCGTGAACCTAAATTTTGCTACTATATTCAGTATATATAATAAATTCTATTTTGTTAAACAATTGTAATTTATCAGCATTCGTTGTCGGTTTTATGCAAAAATATCCCTAAATATTTTCGAATTAAACAAATCTTCCACAGCAGCAAAAATGCCTCTCACATGATTCTTTTTAAAGAAGCAAACTTGTACAATAAACATGGCGGAATTGAACAACCTCGTTTCTATTTTTCATAGTTATGTATCATTTTTTTAATATTTGAACAAAACTGGTGATTTTTTTTTGAATTGTTAATTCTGTAAAGAAAAGAAAGTATACCTAGTAGACATTTTTTTTTAATTAAAATTTGAAAAAAAAAGATATACAATTTCATACTTTCGATCTGAAACAACCTATCATATATGTGCGCGGTATTTTCAAATTAATGTTAATTCAAGTGTTTGTGAAACACAATGTATATGGCGGAATCATATAACCTTGTTTATGTTTAATTTATGTTTGTACATGTTAAAATAAATAATTAATCAAGGTCAAATGTATTTTTGTTTATGAACGATGATTCTACAAATTAAGGTTTTAATAGATATAAAATATTAGTAACAATATAAAATACTAAAAGTAAAGCATTGTAATCATCTGTTACACTGCATTATTCCAATATCTTACTTTGATGGAGTTCTTAGTCACGGGTTGTTTGATCTTTCAATGACAATTTATTATTGATATTTCGGTTTACTGACCCGACAACTCCTTTTTTTGGGAAAATGGAAAAAAATCTGCCCGAAAAAGATAATACCGCGTTAAAATACACCGCTTATAAAATAGAAATATTAATATTCTATCGGTGATGTAGTAGACTTGTCAAAGAAACGTCGAGATCATTTTTGACGGTAGTATGAAAGAATAATATCTGTAAAATGGGTCAAAGCGTTCTCGCCGAATTATAATTAGGCTAGGATCTATTTATTTAAAATATATATAAAGTCATTTCGTTTAAGGTTAAAACGCGTAAAAATGTCAAAGAAACCACGCCAAAATCACAGGTACTACGGCATAAAAGTTTTTTTATCGACTACCTTTTGTGACCGACTACCCGCCTTGAGTTTTATATAAATTTTTTTTATCTATTACACACAATTTATTAAAAATCTACCGACAAAATTTTAAAAAAATAGATATATCTACTGTGTATATAAATTACTATGTATCAGAATATATTTACTAAAATGTTACCCCACTCCCTAAATGAAATGCGCGCGAACGCTGCGGAACCTCGCTGTTTCTCTCTCCCGCTTACTGTCAAACCGCGTTGAGCGCCAAATTCAGGGGCGCTGATTTTTATCTATTTATTATTGTTATTTTTTTAAATCAGCATGGCAGATTAAATTAAAATAAGAAAATGCTAAGGAACGAATCCAGTGCATGTAATTTTCAATATTTTATCTTCGCTTTTTTTAGTTTTCCGCGATATTGTTTACACAATGAGTCTTTCCAGTTCACGACTGGCATAATACCCCGAAATTTTGTCCATTTTCAACTAACTCACAACATAGTTTATTTGTTGCCGGTAGAACGTTTATTTACAATGGAATTCTACCTTTAATGTATTACAAAGGTTTTTAATGATCTGCAAGTAAAAAATGAAAAAAGATCGTCTCCATGTTAGCTATGTTTTAATAAACTGGTGACCAGAAATTTACGCGGGGATAAATGGGTTTTTATTGTTTATATTTCTATTTCTGTCGCTTTGCACGATATTCATATGTTATTTGCAGTGGATGGTGTGCATTTTTGTGTTTATATTTTAAAACAGTAAATTGTTCGTGCATTGTTTTTTTATATTTGATTTCCTTCAAATCATTTTTCTCATCTGAAGGCATCCAACTTAGAATATCTGATGACATGTTTGTTCATTTTACATTTAATTTACACCTTTCATGCGGCAGGCATAAAAAGTCATCACAGAAGTTAGTATGCAATTGTACCTATATTACATACGAATGTATGTTATATTTTTCTTGTTGACAATAATCTCAAGTACTATAGCCATTCTTTAATGTGCTACATGATTTTTTGATACTCCTACTATTTCTTATAATAAAATTGTATTTTACCTTCAAGTCGACGGATTTTCTGCAATTTTAACAGTTCAACCTGCATTGTAAAAACAAAATTAAAGGTCTGAAAAACAGTGATCCCAAATCATACTGGAATCTTATTAATAAGTACTTCAGTGAAAGAAAAACTGTGATCAATAAAATTTCATGCAAGGTTTTTTATGATCATCTTAAGGAACTAAATAATGTAGACTTTCATAATGAAGAAAATTTTAACGAGGTAGACATTGATCAGATAAGCAGCTACAATGAAGACTTATTTTTACCATTTTCAGTTAATGAAATTCATCAGTTTTCAAGGCTTTAAAAGCAAATCTGCATCACCAATGGATGATCTTAAATGAATACCTTAAGAATTCGCCTTGTTCAATGTTACCAATTGTTTGCAAACTATTTAATATTATTTTTGATTCAGGTTTCTTCCCTGAAATTTGGAGTAAAGGGGTAATTCTTCCTTGATACAAGAATAAAGGTGATATAAATGACCCAGACAATTACAGGGGAATAACAATTTTGAGCTGTTTTGGTAAATTATTTACATCTGTTGTGAATTGTCGGTTGAATAATTTTTTAGAATCTGATAATATTCTTTGTGAAGAGCAGGCTGGGTTTAGAAAGAATAACAATACAGTTGATCATATTTTTTCACTAAAATGTTTAATAGATTTGTACTTGGCTAACAAAAGGAAACTATTTTGTGCTTTTATTGATTATAGACAAGCCTTTGATTCTGTAAATAGACTTGCTTTATGCAGGGTATTTCAAATAGAATTTGAAAGACCCTGCTTTATGGAACAAGTTATTAAGTTCAAATATAGATGGTAAATGTTTTAAGATAATACACAATATGTATGAAAATATTAAGATGTCATCAATGTTTACACTTGCTAACCCAAAACTGAAAAAATAAGTAGGGAGACTTCTAGGGTGTTTTCTTTACAACTTGTTATATCTCCACTGTAGAGCTGTAACGCGAAAACTGCTATGAACCCGTTACTGATGATATATATATATATTGTATCAATATGTAGTATAAGAATGACTGAAAATTCATATCCCGTAACAGAACATT